TAAGTACCAGTAAAATTTCTCTCACAGTATGTAAATTCAGAGTTCATGCCTCTACATTCATTTGGGGATTGGACTGGCATATGCCAAGGCACATTTATCAGTAAACAAGCCAACAAGATAATAGGTTTTTAAAAATCTGAACAGGTATATAGAATAGCACCACGAGAACTTAATGTATTGGTAGGATTACTCTTAGATGTTGCCAAACTATAACTCATTGGAGTGCAAGTCAACCATGACCTACAGTGAAAATTATTCTACATTCGATGGTCTAGGACTATATTTAGAATTACAGCCCTAGAGAGATATAAAATATAGCAAGCCTAGGATTGTGATGCATTTGAAGTTTAAAGGAAGACTTTAAAAAAATTCTGAATCATCGTGATTTATGGATCTTTGTTTACGATATATTGTAATGACTACCAGTCCTGATGTCCTCCTCCTTGAAACTGTACTCAGGAAGTTTGATGACACCAAAACATCTGAGAGCAGTTTGCAACATGGTGATGTTGGGAAATTCTAAGTTTCTAGCTTCTCTGAATAGAAGCAGCTGAACGATAGAGAAAAGGTTGATACCATTTACCATGCAGAGTAGAGAAGTGAAAATGAACGGTGGGATATTGGAAGTTAAAACCCACCCCTCTCCTAGAAAAATGAAATATTTCAGGATACACTAAATACAGAATATTTTCCCTAAAAGAGAAGTAGAAACTCAGAGAGGCAGAAACCCCCCCCCCCCCCCCCCGGCTCCCATCTTTGTTAATTGGTCATTAAGGCCTGGGCCAGTCTATTCTACATAACAAAGATCTACCTCCTTCAGACAGAGCCATAATAGGAATTGCACAAAGCCCTTTCAATTACATCATCACCCAGCAAGAGTCAACCAAGCCTGGGGACTCAGGACAGTTTACAGAGTTGCCTCTGCATGGCCCCATCATGGGAGTCTGACAACCAATCCAAATACAAGCTCAAATTCAAGAGCCCAGAGAGGGTATAAAACCCAGGGACTCTCAGCATGCCTTCCCCTTTTTTCCCTTCACCCAAAGCATATGATCTTATCCACCATTAAACCATCTTTCCAAGCAGTCACCATGTTTCCAGTGTCTTTCTTCCCCACTCGGAACTGAACCCAGAAGGATGTTTCTTCCAACAGGGGAATTCCAGGAGGCCAAAGCAAGAAGACCTTCACAAAGTACACATGGACACTTTGGGATTCGGTGTTGCACGGTTGGTGAATTACAAATCCCAACTGTCCTAGAAGAATATCGGGAGAAACATGTCTACAAGGATGAGGCCCATAATTTCTTCAGCCATCACAAAAGGACATTTAAAAGGGGATTAGACAAACTTAGGAGAAAACTTGTGATTAAAAAAGCCATTTTACTACTGATATGACAGATTAAATTAGTGTCTGTATAAATTAGGATTATGACTTCATGGCTTACCTGCCAGCTTCCCAATTTCCCTACGAGACTTCTCTAGTATGAAGCTTGTGATATGAACCAACAAGGATCCCCTTACTATTTTGTAAATGTGGTGGATGTGATCTCATCTGCTATTGTCAATCTTTTATCATTTATCATTCCTTTTTTTGTTTCAAGTTTTTTATTTTTATAGCATATAAAAATTCCAATTTCAAGTGAACAGTGTGTTCCCTGAGTACAAATGTTTTTAGGATATAATAATCAAAATGTTTACAATATTCATTACGTTGATGTTAATTATAGTATCAATAATAATAATAATATTTACTTAACCAATTCATTATGCCTTCCTTATATCACTGATCCTATCCATCTGTTTCCCTGTAACTAGCTCCTGTTTTTTTTCCAGTTAGCCATTGATAAAATAAGTCCCAAGTCAGAAAGAATTAACTTTTCTTCTTTTCCTTGATTATAAGTGATCCATTTCTGCACAGTCTAATATTTTTTTAATCACATTTTCATCTATTGGGATCTCTTCATATTTCCATTGTTTTGCAAATACAGTTCTAGTTGTAGTCAATATATATAAAAGCAAATATGCATTCCCTTTATTATATTGACCGGGAAAATGCCCAACAATAATTTATCTGGTGTCAATGTGCTGTTTTATCATTTTTTTCCAGCCATGTATGGATTTTGTCCAATTTTTTTCGCTTTTTGACATGTCCACCACATATAATAATGTGAGCTGGGTGTCTTGTGACATTTCCAACATTTTGCAGACTTATCCTTAAACGTCATTTATCATTCCTAAATCATAGATTTAGTTCTTCTTTCCAGTTCCAAAGAAGTAAGAATGAGAGTCAAAATAGGTCTTTGTGTACTGCAGATTTCTCCTGGGATTGTTCTCTGAATCAGCAGACAAGAGTCACTGCAACAAATATAATCACAAGACATTCTTCAATGCAGCCACAATGCATCTCAATTCCCTATTTTAGCAACAGTTCCTATCACATAAAGGGGATAAGAGGGACAGAAGAATGGAACAATCTCAGCTCTATCTTAAAGTGGTGGGATTTGGGAGAAAAAGTCTAATATTGGACAGCCACTGTTCAGAAATATTCTGTCCAGTTGACTATCGCTTTTTCTTTTACCCTTTCCCTCACCTTGTGAACATTCTGTCTGAAACTATGAACGTCCCCTTAAAGTCACATTACTTTCCTCTTGTGACCAAAAGCAGCCGTTTTGATTGCAAAAAATAGAATTTACAGTCTGGGTAGTAAAAACAGAGCAAGTTTTTAACATATTAGTTCCACTTCTCCAAAAGTCCTTATGCAAGAAGACTCTCTTGGATGATTTGTTTCATTTGGCACCCTTAAATCAGCTCTCTTATTGACAGAAGGGATTGGCTGAAGGTGGGAAGGTGGCCCAGATAAAAACAAAACAACTGACGGCGTGATAATCATGCCATGAAATAAACTTCTGATCTGATTCCCAAACTTCCTAGAAATATCCTTGGATGCTTACAAGATATCTAAGATACTAAGGCAAGATCACCTGAATCTTCAGGTCTATTCATGGTGCTATTTTGGTGGCCATTCCAGATATGAAGAGCTTTTCCCGTTCAAAAGTATTCTACCATTCCAGAATGATCCAGAAGGTTTCTCTGCATTGCAGTTGGTATCTGTTCTGATTTACTTTATTTGAAATAAAAAATTACATCAGCAAAAACTCCAAAGACTCTTAGCCTAATCCAGGGGTGTCAAACTCAATTTCATTGAGAGCTGCATCAGGGTTATGTTTGACTTTGGGGGCCAGGGTGGGCGTGGCTACCTCGACATCACTCATGTCAGGGGTGCTCTGCCAGCGAAAACAGGCTCCCAAGTGTCTGCCAGTGAAAACAGAGCTTGGGAGGGCGGCCTTCTTTGAGCTCCATTTCACTAGCAGAGGCACCATGGCCCAGTCCTTTGTCATTTCGCGGGTGGCCCCGTGGGCCAGATCTAAGCACCCCATGGTCCAGATCTGGCCTCTGGGCCTTGAGTTTGACACCCCTGGCCAGTGGTGGGATTCAAAAATTTTAACAACCAGTTCTATGGGCGTAATTTAGGTGGTGAGCGTGGCTTGGTGGCCGTGTGACTGGGTGGACATGGCTTGGTGGTCATGTTATTGGCTGGGTGTGGCCAACTCAGTATCACTCATATTGAGGCACACATCTCCTCGCCTGGCCTCTCATGGCTGTGGGGATGCTGCAACAGTCATAAGTGTGAAAAACGGTCATAAGTCACTTTTTCAAGTGCCATTGTAACTTTGAATGGTCACTCCACACAAGCAAAGTACCAGCAAAGGAGGGAAAAAAACTCCAGATACATTTTAGAGACAGGAAATCTAGTCCAGCCAAGAATGTAATAAGGGTTAACGGAGAGGCAGTTTCTGTAAGCAACACCAGAATGTTTCCTTCCTGCCTTCCTTACAGGATTAGGCCAGGAATTTCTTCTAACAGCCAGTTCTCCGAACTGCTTAGAATGTTAACAACCAGTTCTGGCGAATAGGTGCAAATTGGTAAAATCCCACCCCTGCCCCTGGCCTAATCTATGCCCAGGCTGAGTGGCTTAAATTTCATATTCTTCCAACCTCAAAGAAAACAACAGATAGTCCTTGACTTATGATCACAACTGAGACCAGAATTTCTGTTGCTAAGTAAAGCTGTTGTCAAGAAGAGATTGAATTGCCATTTGTCAGAAATGGTATAGGGTTGGGCGGGGGGGTTAGACTAGATGACCTATAAGGTCTCTTCCATCTCTGATTATCTGTTATCTAACTGATCTGATCTGATTTAATAACCATTTTACCACGAATCATTGGCGTTGTGAAGTGAACCAGGCAGTCGTGAAGTGTGACTGGCTTCCCCCATTGACTTTGTTTGTTGAAAGCTAGCTGGGAAGGTTGCACATGAGAATCGCATAACCCTGGGACACTGTAACCATCATCATAAATACAAGTGCCTGAATGTTTATAGCAATGGTACTTAGACTTATATACCATTTCACAGCACTTTGCAGTCCTCTCTAAGCAGTTTACAGAGTCAACATAATTGCCCCCAACAATCTGGGTCCTCATTTGACTGACCTCGGAAAGATGGAAGGCTGAGTCAACCTTGAGCCAGGCAGAATCAAACTGCTGGCAGTGGGCAGAGTTTGCCTGCAATACTACATTCTAACCACTACGCCACCATGCAGTGACCAACAGCCATAAGCACAAGGCCTGGGTCGTAAATCACTTTTTTTCATTGCCGTCACAACTTTGAATGGTCACCAAACCAAAAGTTGTAAGTTGAAGGCTACCTGTATTTGTCCATGTGGAGAAGAAACGGTTGTTACAATCATGGATAGATATTGTTTTGAGTATTCATCATCCGATACTGCCCTGGCTTCAATATTCTCCCAAGAAAAAAAACTTCATTCTCACTGTTTCTAAACCCAGGTTTACCTCCTTGGGCTTCTCAGGATCCTGTTGCTGACCACAACCATCCAAAGAGGCTGAAGTTTCAGGGATGCAAACATGGGTTGTCCCCTTGAGGCCTTCTTCCTTGGGCTAATTTCAACACAGTTGCTTTGGAAAGGTAAGTTTAGTTTAGTTTACTTTATTGCCATTGCACTTCGTACATTGAAATTAAATGCTATCTTCAGTGTACAACATACATAAGAAAATTATAAAAATAAAGCACAAACACACATCCTTCACATTCTATACAATTGAATTGAAAACACCTGATATTGCATTAATCTTGCACTATACAGTAGAATTCAATATCGCTACTGCTCTGGGATAGAAGCTGCTTTTCAGCCTATTTGTTCTTGTTTTTATTATCCGGTACCATTTGCCAGATGATAATAGTTAAAAAAAAAAGGGGGGGGGTGCCCAGGATGAGATGGATCTTTGAGAATGTTTTGAACTTTCTTAAGGCAGCGGAAGCTATAAAGCTCTTCCAAAGAGGGGAGAGGTGTTGGGTATAACACCAACTAGGTTTGGGTGAATAAATATATAAACCAAGGTTTAAGTGTTTGTAGCTTTAAGCACCAAACTGCAATGTAATTAGATAATTAAGGGTGCGGTTGCAAGCAGCAATAAAAGGCAGTAAGAGAAACGTAACAGCCCTGCTCGCTGGTCTCTCTGCTCTCTGCCTGCCTGCTGCTTACTCCTGTTTGAGACGTCTGCTTGATACTGTTTGTTGGCTACTGTGCTGGATACCATTTCTGCTGAACAAAAGGACTATTTCCTTGGTGAGCTGATATCCTGTGTATACTCAGCGTTGTCTTCGAGAGAAAGGTATCGGGAGGAGAAGATTTACAAGCAGATAAGGACATAGTACTGACTAGTAAAAATGGACTAAGTTACTGGATGGATATATTTGTGAATGACATATGGACTGATTGACAATGCTTAAACTCTGAATGGATTAAACAACTATTTAAAACTGCAAACAGTGTTTTGTCTCCAGTGTGTGTATACTCTTGGGCCCAGCCTCTCTCATTTGGCTGCCTGGCTTGACTGCTGCTGCACACTCTGCTTGGGGGTTTATCCCCAAACACTAACAAGAGGGCAACCAATGATCCTCTGGGCAATGATGTTAACCCTCTGGAGTGCTTTCCTATCTGCCCCTGTGCAATTGGCAAACTGAACCCAGATGCAGTTAGTCAAGATACTCTCTATGGTGTAGCGGTAGAAGGTCACCAGCAGTTTTTCATTTAGTTGTTGTTTCCTGAGAAGCTTCAGGTAGTATAATCTTTGCTGGGCCCTTTTAGTTTAGTTTATTGTCACTGCACCTCGTAGAACAAAACCAAAACACCATCTTCAGTTCACATCATGACCATAAAAATAAACACAAACACACATCTTTCACACTCCACACATTGAATTGAAAACTCCGACACCACACCAACACTGCACTATACAGCAGAATGCAAAAGAGCTACTGCCCTGGGATAGAAGCTGTTTTTCAGCCTATCTGTCCTTGTTTTTATTATCCTGTACCATTTGCCAGATGGTAATAGTTCAAAAAAAGAGTGCCCAGGATCAGATGGATCTTTGAGAATGTTTTGAAATTTCTTAAGGCAGCAGGAGCTATAAAGCTCTTCCAAAGAGGGGAGAGGGCAACCAATGATCTTCTGGGCAATGATATTAACCCTCTGGAGCGCTGTCCTATCTGCCCCTATGCAATTGGCAAACCATACACAGGTGCAGTAAGTTAAGATACTTTCTATGGTGCAGCGGTAGAAGGTCACCAGCAGTTTTTCATTCAGTTGTTTCCTGAGAAGTCTCAGGTAGAAGTATCAAGAGCTGGTGGGAAGGTGAGAGGCTGACTCTTGATCACAGCCCTGGATTAGTTTTTGTCTCCAAGGGTGGAAGTGGGACAGGGTGTCTGTTACTGGGTAGCTGAGTTTCTTGTTTTCCATTCTTTGCAGGTGTGATACCTGCAAAAGGAGGGGTGTATTACCTGAAAGCTCCTGATCATGTGTTGGTAGAGGAAGGGCTCTGTGCCATGATTCCCTGCAATTTTACTTATAATAAACAGCATGCCTTGGAGACTGCAGAATTGAAAGGATTTTGGAAGAAAGTAGAAAATAACCAAGTTAAAATAGTGGCCACCTCAACTAAAATATTGGCTGAGAATCACTTTCACCTCATTGGGAATCTGACAGCAGGAAACTGTTCTCTCCTCATCTTGAATGCCCGAGAATCTGATGAAGGGAACTACTTTTTCAGAATGGAAAAAGACCCTAAAGCAAAATACGACTTTTTCGAATTCGCTAAACCATACCTGAACGTAACAAGTGAGTACCTGGAAAAATGTGTGGCCTTTGCCAGAAGCTCCAGTTTTCACCAGCCAGTGTAAAATGTTATTATTAACACACACACACCCCTCTGTTATTTAGTTTTTGTCCTTGTTTTAGTTCTGCTTTGATAATGCTTTTAAAATAGTTATACGATGGGACGAGGTAACAATTGTTTTATACAGTGATTGAATTCTTGGATTGTTGCATGCTGTCCAGAGTTACTTTCTGTCCATATAAATTTGATTAACACATAAATAAATAGAGTTGAGTTGTGTGATGACCCGGGGCGTGGCACAAAGGCAACACAGTCACATCAGTAAGGAAAGTCCCTTTAATACCTCCAACTTTGGCCCCAGTGTCTAGTTACCTTCAGCTGGAGAAAAAACTCTCCCAAGAACAGTCTTTAAGTGGAAGAAATTCAGTTTGAAAACAAAGTACATATAAAGTGTAAATACAAATCCAAACAAACCATGCTGCAGCAATTAACTGGATAGGGCAGGATAAGGAAATGCAGACTTCAAAGGCCAACAAAACACACACAGTTGGGAAGATTCCAGGAACCCAGATAAGCCTCAACAAAACAAGATAATACACAATTTGTTTCCAGGAAGTTGCTGTGCGCAAACTCCCTTTTTAAACACTGTGTTCCCAGCTGCAACTAATGAAGGGAGTCAGGGCCCTTTCCTCCCCCATAAGCCATGCAACTCAGGTTGCTCCCTTTTCTGTTCCTCTCTGCATGCCCTAGGATGAAGAGGGGATGGGCCTGGGCCTTCCTCTGAATTCCCTCTCCCTTGTTCTACCTCTTCCCTGCTCTACCTAGCCAGACTTTGCCCTTTCCCACAGCCAATGGAGCCACACTTCCACTCCCTGTCAGCTGCTCAGCCTCCTCCTCGGAATCAGATTCCGACAAGGGTATGACAGGTTGGGGTCGCAGATAACAACCATAACATGCAGGAATAAAACCACTACCAAATAAAAGAACCTCCCTTCATCTTTCTCTCTTTCACACATAGACAGAAACCCAGAAATAAGAGTTCAAGCAATATGATCCACAGACAGCCACAGGCTTAGACCCAGAAACATCAAGGGATAATGAAATGCTTCAGGAGACCATTAATGTTTCTTTAGTAATATAGATCGGGGTCCCCAACCACTGGCCCCCGGACCGGTACCGGTCTGTGGAACATTTTCTACCGGGCCGCCGGTTTGCTGGGCACCACCATCTTGTTTCGATGAGAAAGTGCTTCTGGGTGAGCTTTTCTGGTTGGAAAGCGGCGTTTGGGTCCTGAAGGAATCCTCGTGCCTTAGTTTCATCGAAGGTTGGGGGGTGGCTTCGAACGAAACTAAGGCACGAGGATTCTTTCAGCACCCAAGGCAAGGTGAGCTGAGTGACCATCCCAAAGCCGCCCCAAAGCCCATCGGCAAAGGTACAAAGGAGGAGTTGAAGGTGGTGGGGAGAAGCGGGGGACAGCTGGCTGGCTGGTCGCTCGGCTCGCCTTGCCTTGTCATGCGTGCTGGTGCCGGTATCGGGCCACGGATCATTTTGTGATGCCGGTACTGGGCCGTGGCACAAAAAAGGTTGGGGGCCACTGATATAGATGATACCCACCCCACCCCGCATGGCCTTGATTTCACATGTCACACTAAGTGGTATTTCAGTTTCTTTGATTTATGCTAGAGGGATGTGTAAACCCATTTGATATAATTTAGAAACTGTGATGTATAGATTTGCCATGTATGAAAAGCCAGTTGTGGATTTCTTAATAAATCATGGTCAAAGACAATTGTGTCCCAGCCTGTTGGTGGAAGTCAACAAAAGAGGGAAAAAAGCACTAAGACTTGATCAACAACCAATCAGTGAAGAACCTCCTGAAGAGTTCTTTTGTGATGTGTTTCCTGCCCTCATTTTGCATTTCCTGGGCTGCTGGATCTGTAACTTTTTTATTTTTATTTATTTAATTTGATTTGTCAATCACTTACAAGATAATAGGTATAAGAATAAACACAGTTATGAATACATGAAATGGATACATATAAGAAAAATAAAAGAAACAATAGGACAGGGACGGTAGGCACGTTGGTGCACTTATGCACGCCCCCTACACCCCTCTTAGGAAAGGGGTGAGGTCAATAGTAGACAGTCTAAGGTTAAAGTTTTGGGGGTTTGGGGAAGAAACCACAGAGTCAGGTAGAGTATTCCAGACATTGACCATTCTGTTGCTGAAGTTGTATTTCCTGCAATCAAGTTTGGTGCAGTTAACCTTGAGTTTGTATCGATTGTGTGCTCTTGTATTGTTATGGTTGAAGCTGAAGTATTCATTGATAGGTAGGACATTGCAATGTATGATTTTATATACCATGCTTAGATTGGACCAAAGACGGCATAGTTCTAGGTTTTCTAGGTCTAGAATTTCAAGTCTGGTGGCATAAGGTATTCTGCAACAAGTACAGGAGTGGAGAATTCTTCTTGTGAAATATTTGTGGACATACTCAACTGTTTTAATATCAGATACGTAATGTGGGTTCCAGACTGATGAGCTGTATTCAAGTATTGGTCTAGCAAATGTTTTGTATGCTCTAGTTAGTAGTGTGATATTACCAGAGCAAAAGCTACATAGGATTAGGTTAACAACTCTTAATGCCTTTTTGGCTCTGTAGTTACAGTGGGCTCTAGCACTTAGATCATTTGAGATGAGAATTCCAAGGTCCTTGACAGAGTTTGGATAATCAACAAGGTCTTGACTATTCAGCCTGTATTTTATTTTCTGATTTTTTTTTTTTGCCAATATGTAAGACAGAGCATTTATTTGTTGAGATTTGAAGTTGCCATTTGTTTGACCATTCTGATACAGAGCCGAGGTCTTTTTGAAGGGTAGCAGAATTATCTGTGGTGTAGAATAGCTTTACATCATCAGCAAAGAGAACACAGTTGCTCTTAATATGATCACAGAGGTCATTTATGTAGAGTATGAAGAGAGCTGGTCCTAGAACACTGCCTTGGGGGACACCACTGTTGACAGGTAAAGAATTTGATAGGATGCTCCCAATTTTGATCATTTGTTGTCTGTTTGACAGGAATGCTTCTATCCAGTTATGCAGGTGTCTAGAGATACCATAGGACTTTAGTTTTAGGAGTAGTTTGTCGTGTACCACTGAATCAAAGGCTTTACAGAAGTCTATGTAGATTGCTTCTATTGTTTTGCCCTGATCGAGTTGTGCAGTCCATATGTTTTTGCAGTGTAAGAGTTGCAGATTACAGAATAGTTTTTTCCTGAAACCAAATTGTTTATTAGAGAGTAGGTTGTTTGTCTCTAAGTGGAGGATGATGGATTGATTAATAATTGATTCCATGACTTGACATGTGACACAGCATAAGGAGATTGGTCTGTAATTTTCAACTAGGCTGGGGTCTCCCTTTTTGAAGATGGGGATGACCGTGGCTTGTGACCACAGTTTTGACAAGGAGCTGGTCCTGAAAGATTTTTCTAAGATTATGCTTAGAGGTTCGGCTATGGTAGTGGGTAGCTTTTTAAAGAAATAGGCACATATCCCATTGTGGATTCATGAGATGTTGACAAACATGGATTCGTGCATGTCCCAAAGGTGTTTTTTTTAAAAAAGGCAACTGGACTTTCTTGACTTTTTTTCTTTGAAAATGTTTTGCTTCTTATCTGAGAAGCTTCTTCAGATGCTTGAGAAGATGCTTGAAATATAGACACCACTCCAGTTGCCTTTTGAAAATAAAAACCACTTTTGATACAACTAGGACCTGGATCACTGAGAATCTTCATAAACATTTGAAATATATAGAAGTTCCGTGGTCATGTTTGGTTGCATAAAATCTTGTGCTCCAAGAGAGGATAAAATATCAATGGGTCCATCTGACTCATTTGGGAAGGAGCTTGACAATCAAGATCAGTGGATGAGTAAGAACGTAGTGCTGGAATAACTTTCTTCTGATTCCTCTCTTCTCTTCTTAGAAGGACAACCACCAGAAATACAGATCTTGGGGACGTTGAGAGCAGGATATTCTACAAAGATCACCTGTGCAACTTTTGCAAGCTGTAGTTGGATGCCTCCAAAGTTCACCTGGAACGGCTTACCCAAAGGCATCGAATCTCCTTTGCAGCTGAATGGGACCCAGGGTTACTCAGTGGTGGATTTCTTACCTTCTGTTGCAGACCACAAGCAGAATATCACCTGCAGGGTCAATTACACAAATGGGAACAATTCTGTTTCCAGAGAGACAACCATCCAACTGAATGTCACTTGTGAGTGATCCTTTTCTAGGACTGCATGGGTTCTAGCCCCGAATCCCAAGGCAATTTCAACTCAGTACTGGTTTGAATAATTGAGCTATGCCACTGGCCTTTGCATCAGAGGGCCAAGCCCCACAGTTGCTGTTCTCTCTTTCGCTCAGCCTGGCTTCCTTTGAGAGGTGTCTTCACTAGCTTGCGGGGGAGAAGGGGACAATCAGGGATTTTCTAGGGCGGAGTTTCCCAGACTTCTCAATTTTAAGATGTGTGGATGTCAAATCTCAGAATTCCCCAATCAGCATGCCTTAAAATTGCTAAGGTTGAGAAACACCAATGTGGACATTATCCACGGTGGTGCAGTGGTTCGAGTGCAGTACTTCAAGCTACTTCTGCTGACTGCTGGCTGCCTGCAATCTGGCAAATCAAATCCCACCAGGCTCAAGGTTGACTCAGCCTTCCATCCTTCTGAGGTTGGTAAAATGAGGACTCAAAATGTTGGGGGCAAGAGGCTGACTCTGTTAACTGCTTAGAGAGGGCTGTAAAAGCACTGTGAAGTGGTATATAAGTCTAAGTGCTGTTACTAAGTGTTATTGCTATCCTATCAAAATGAAGACCAATTCTTAGCATCTTGTAACCAAAAAGGGAGAGTGTGGAAGAGAAGAGGTTGGGAGACCAGCTCCAGGAAATCAACATGTAATTTGGGATCTGATTGTGTCTATTGGAAAGAATGTCTGAATGTCTGAGTATTTATTTTTCTCTTACAGTTAAACCGCAGATACTGATCAGGGGGGAACATTTTTGCTCCAATAAAAGTAAGTTGCATGATTCTCCCAGCAGCCTTCAGCTCAGGAAGAAGGTATCAGAAAGAGGCAGAAAAGGCTAGCAGGAAAGGTGAAGAACTTTGCTGACCACCTGGCATGTATTTTGGATGATTACAGTTCCCCAGGGTTTGCAATGAGAAGATGGTTGACTTAATAACTGCAGTGGTTTGTGATTTAAACAAAGGTCACAAAATCAGGGCTGATTCACTTAAAAAAATCAGGTAGCTTAACAATGAAAATTCTGGTCTCAATTGTGATGATAAGCCAAGGACTATTTATAGGCCTAGTATTGTTCAGAATTGCCCTGGAAGTAAGAAGCAATTCAAACTATTGTCCATTTCAAATAATTGTCTGTCTGTCTGTCTCATCTATCTCTCTATCTCGTCTCTGTCTATCTGTCTGTTTATCTCTCTCCTCTTTCTCAC